AATGAGAAACCATGTAACCATAATATGTAAATATTTAAAGCAGCAACAAGGAACTTTTATTTTGTGTTGATTCTATTCTATTATAATTTCATTTCATTGATTTCAAATGAGCAACCATATACTAACGCTGTACCTTGTAGACTTGGATCGGTATGTCAATGGCGATGTATATCAGGTCTCCCAGGGCCAGGCTGGCTATCAGGGCGTTGGGTCCATTCCTCATGCTTTTATTTTGGTAGATAATCCTGAGCAGGGTGCCATTTCCAATGATCCCCACAGCAAATATAACACAGGACAGCACCGTGTTGATGTACTTGAAGGCTGTTTTTATTGATGTGGCCTGCAGGCATTTCGGAGGGGATACCGGGCGCATCTGAACCACCAGGGAGGAGTTGGAGGTGGACGAGTGAGGCTTTCTTTCGTGTTTGTGTTTCAGCTTGTTCGCATGTTTTGTCCTCCCTTTTTCCGCTGAGGACGGGGCCTTGTTCACAGTCTCTTGCACCAGATGTGGTTCTCTGTCTAAAGTCTGGATAAGGGGGTCCATCCCTAGTCCTAGAGGTGGGTCAGTACCATGGAAATCAGGCAGGTCCGACATGATCAGATCTGAGATCTGAGATGACTCAGATGAGAAGTTTCTGTGGCAACCAACCGGATCGACAAACGTCAAACCCCAGAAAAGCAGCAGCACGGTAAACATACCCGGAATTCCAGAACCTAATCTGGGTCCTATTCTGGAACCTTTGACTGAATCCACTTTTGTGACTCCAGAGACCATCCTGGAGCCCGATGTGACTCTTGAACCAATTCCTGTACCCGCTGCAAATCTAGAGCATGCTTTGGAATCTGCAGTATTTCCAGAACGTGCCATAGCTTCAGAACAAATTGTAGAACCCACTCCAGAATCAGTGTCGGAGTAGTTCTAAAGGCTCCAGAAGTCCTCAAGGTTGAAGTTGAAGTGGACCAGCAGAGAGTAGAGAAGGTGTCAGGGGTTTGTAGATTATTTTGGGGATTTGGGGCTCGGAGAAACTCTGGAAAGCAAGATGAAAACAAAACAGCTCAAGCATAACTAGAATAGAATGATGTTCTCGGTACCCAGAATGTTTGGAGATCTCAGGAGTCTGAATTAATTTGTCTTTCTGAACTCTAGTTGCCTTTAATGATTACTGTAAAACATTAAAGTCTCGATCAACTGATTTTTTGGCCACTTCAAGGCCACTTCTGTGTGAAACTTTTAGCAAACAGTTGTTTATCAAACCAGTAATAGAAAACATAGATAAAAAATTTAAATTTTGTTTTTCAAAATCATTTTTCTAATTTTTATATATTGTTCCACTTATAAAAAAAAAAAAAAACAACAACATGCCTTTCAAGGCTTTCATAGGTGAAAAAACTATTTTAAAATTAGAAAAATTATCATGAGAAAAAAATATTCACTTGCCTTTGAGGGCTTCCGTACAACCACATAGTGTAACTTAAAATAAGTAAATAAATCAACGATTTTAGACAAAACACTGCTGGCTTCAACTATCAAATTAAATATTAAATTATTGCCTGTTATCAATTAAACATATTATTTTATATGTATGATATATTATTATTGTTCCATAAAGGCTCTATTGTGGAAAAATTTGAATCCTCACTCAAACTTCAAAGTTGCATCAGAGGACTTTTTATAAAGCAATAAAAAAAGTAAAAAAATATTCCTACCTGTTTGTATTATTTTTTTCTCCTCCTCTGGTTTTTACAGAAAATAAATCCTTCCAAACAACATCAGTGAGAGGAAAAGAAGAGTGTGCTCTGCTTGAGTCGAGACTAAACTGATGAAGTCTGACTGACAGAGCTCAGTTTTACTCACTCTCTCTCTCTCTCTCTCTCTCTCTCTCTCTCTCTCTCTCTCTCTCTCTGATAACATGAATGCTCGCACGTCCCCACTACTCTACTGTCTCTCACTTCCTCCTCACTCTACTCTCCTCCTCTTTCCCCTCTTTCCCCCCTCCTCCTTCCAATATCTTCTTTATCTTGCCTTCTCTTCACACTTCTTCTCATCCTCTCCCTCCTTTGTTGCTCCTTATCACCTCCGCCCCTCTCTCCTCCCCCCTCCTCCTCCTCCTCTTCTCCTCTTTCAGTCGGTTACAGTGGAACATCTCATAAACACTCTGACATGAAGTGGCTCTGAACTTTTCCCACTTAAGAGAGCCTTTATAAAACAACGTTGTGGAAATTGAGGCAGTAAAATGTATTACTGTATATAAACAACAAATTTGACTTTATTGGAGCGTTTGAACACAAGTGATGCCAGACTCCAGTCTCACTTTATTAAACCACCAAGTCCTGCTCTCTATCAGAGTTCACTGAAGCCATCCTTTCTTTATTCTTTTGGATATTTCAACAAGGATAGGTTTTATTTGCTGTTCAACCATTTACTAACATCACCTCAGTCATGTTAGGAAGGTTTCCACAGTTCAAAAAGGTGCTTATTGGCCATTTTGTGGGTGCAGAAACCACCGATAACAGATTTCTGGGGGCAAAGTGTGCAGTAGAAACACACAATTAACACTCGCACTACTTTTTTAAAGCGAGAAAACTAAAGTTTTGCTGCACTGTGTTCACCAGCGAGCTGCTAACTGTGCTGTTTGGTGCTCAGCTGCAGCCTCTCAACACTATGAGAGTGGTGACAGTGAATGCAATGCAATTTGGTGCTGGTTAGTTAGCGTAGATTGGGATTTTATATTCAATTTTTTAAAAAACAGCAGCCAGCTTCCACCAAATGTCTTTTATTCCAAGATATATAGTGTTGTTGAACAAGTGGCAAAAGTACATGAATTATTTACTCAAGTAGAAGTGAAGAAGTACACGTTCTGAAATGTACAAAAGTATGGTTTCTCTGAAAGATGTTTCTGCCGGCTGTTTCTATTTTTTGTGAGATGATCCTGGAGCTTTTCCGTCACTGTCTGTGATCTGCTGCGGTGTTTGAAAGGTTCAAACATCTGTCAGTGACACGCAGTGTGTGCTATTACTGAATGGAACATGTTCGTGTCTGCAGCACATGTTGAGTTCGCACATCTGTAACACACGTGTGCTACACTGAACCATCTATCTATCTATCTATCTATCTATCTATCTATCTATCTATCTATCTATCTATCTATCTATCTATCTATCTATCTATCTATCTATCTATCTATCTGTCTGTCTATCTGTCTGTCTGTCTGTCTGTCTGTCTGTCTGTCTGTCTGTCTGTCTCTCAGACTCACTCCAGTTTAGTGGAAATCCATCAAACCTTTGACCCCAGAAAGTTCAGGTTCACTTAATGTCAGCGCTAAATTTGGGATTTCAGAGTTCATCTTATCGTAGTCGCTGAGTGCAAGTGGAGACATAGGGGCTGTCACTGTGTGTGTGTGTGTGTGTGTGTGTGTGTGTGTGTGTGTGTGTGTGTGTGTGTGTGTGTGTGTGTGTTGTTTGTTTGTTACAGTAAATACAGACATAAACAGATGAAAGCTCTACGTGACTTGAACCATGAAGGCAGATAATGGGATGACACACACACACACACACACACACACACACACACACACACACACACACACACACACACACACACACACACAAAGCTTAGATCCTTTCAGCAAGGCATTAATAGATAGTGAATTTTGATGTTATGCTCAAATTTGAATTAAGGAAAAACTATCAAACTGCTTTGTTTACATCTGTTTGGAGTTTTTTTCTTCTATTATTGTTGGTTCGGAGCATTTTAGGCCAAAATCCTCACAGAGTTCCTTTAATGAGGCATTTACATTGTCACCAAGAGAGAGAAGAGAGCTTGTAAGTTATAATATTAATAATAATGAAAATAATAAACTTTATTTATGCAGCACTTTTAAAGACACAGTTCCAAAATTTCTAACATTACCAGGACCAGGAATAAAAACATTCCAGGAGGCAATGAGGAAATATAAAATCACACTGAAGTAGAATAAAAGAATAAATCAATAAAGATAAGTTCAGAGAGTAAAGCAGATAAAACATATTGCAAAACTAACTGTTCTGTTTCCCAGCTCTGAGTATACTCCTCTAAATGATCCAGTTGTTACTCACTTATTATCCATTCTGTTGTCTTCCTACATTAAAGTACTAACAGCAGGAACTGGTAAGCATGCATGTTGTTGGTATCTGATTCATTCAAATACATGACACTGTAAATCGTTATTGCCAAACTATAAAGTGCTACAGCTTTTTATTTTATTATTTCCTGAGTTTACTGCAGACAGAGATATACTTGTAAAGATTTTAATTTGAAGCAGAAACACACACTTCTGTATGACGACCTTCTGTCGGCGTCGGACCACCGACCTCCAATATCGTAAAACACGTTTAATTCTCACTTTTCTCTTCAAAAGCTGCTGGTTAATGGACAAATTACACTTGAAGCTAATTAGAACGAGAAGAACAAACAGATCCAAAAGGGTCTCGTTTCACAGCAAATCAAACCCAGATCCTCAGACAGACAGGAAACAGCCTCTCTGTGTCAGCTGCTGCTGATTTCCACCCAGAACATGAAGCTTTATTAGAAACTCTGTGACTCTTTGAAAGGAAAAAGAAGAAGTTTCCATCCCAGCTGCAACCAAGCTCCACTCAGACGACCTCCAACATCTCAAAGAAAGTGTGTGTTATAAAAACCCTGCTTCTTTTCTCATGTACTCTTAATATACAGCCCTCTCTTTCTCTAAATATTGTGCTATACTAATGTGTGTACTGTTGATCTGATGCTCTCTGGTGTCCTTTTATTTATTTATATTTGCTCTGGTGTCATTTTTAGGTCATAATCAAAATATTATAAAAGACATCCCATTAAATATTAAACACATATCAGATTATATTATATACACTGATAAAGTGAATATATTATTATCATCCAGAACCGCCAATATAAAGGAGAAATAATGTTTCTATTCTCCTGAATGGAACCGGGCAGCAGTTGGCAGGATGTTAGTGTTGGAATGCGGCCGGTCCCGTTGCCACGGTGACGGTAACTCCTCCGCAGGCGGCGGTTGAAACTGTGAAGACAGAAAGTTTCGTTTTATCTGCGGTAAGTTTGTGCAATCTGTGCGGGGTTCAGGTTTTTATTCAGGACGCAGGGTCGATGGTCAAACACAGGGAGAGAGAGTTAGAGTAGACTGAGACTGAGGTTGCAGTCGGTCAGCAGGTTGAACGTTAGCTGACTGTTTATTGTTGTTGTTTATTGGCCTCTTTCCAACCAGATAATATAGGACAGATAATATAATATAAGTTAATAACCATGCACAGGCAACAGGAAGGCTAGCTGTTCAGTTGAGGATGTTTGATTTAATAATTTTACTGTTTCAGAAAACAAACCTCAACTCAAGGTTCATATTATTATTATTATATTATTGTTGTGTTATTATTATTATAGTGGGATTTTATTTGCCTCATCGCAGTCCTGAAATGTTTAAATCCTGGTTCAAACCATGTAAAGCACAACTTTGTCTGTGTACATATAGTTTATTATTATTATTATTATTAGTAATAGTATTATTTATATCTTGTCAGTAGTTTGACAAGCCACAGCATGTTTGGCCAGTTAAACAGGAAAACTGTATTTAAATAGTCTTTCCCACTCAAGGTCCACTTTCTGGTGTTTTCTTTAGCTTTCAGCCGCTGCACATGGTCTTCAGGGATGAAGTTTGCTCTGATAATTCTCAGTGTTAGCAGCCAGATATTCCTCAAAGTGTAACATGTCACATTAACTTTTACCACAAACAAGTAATTGCTGTGTGAGATCATTAAATATGAACATGTTAGATATAATAACGGACTTCAGATGATGGTTGTTGTGTTTCAGTTTGACTGACGGCTGAAGAATGAACGCAGCAGTAACACGGCGGCACACCGGGTCTTTTCTACCAGAACTCATTACCAAGAACAGCAAACGGAGGAGAAGGTAGAGTACAACTGCAGTACTCTAAAAGTGTTTTAAAAGAAACAACAAGAACACAGTAGATGTATGTTTAATCTCAGTGAGCAGTGAAGGTATAACGTCTCTTTTATTCTGTTTGCAGGATGAATGAGCAGAAGGAGTCTCTCCAATCTGGACCAGAGAAGTCGGCTCAGATCCTCTCCAGGGCCGAAATTGCATGGTGAGTTCACCCAGGAACCACAAGAGGGATTCAATGACGTTTTTCTCCCAGAATTTATTGTTTGTTTATTATTGTTCTCCTACAACACACTCAGAAATCTAGAGATTTTTACTGCATGTTGGTATTTTAAACTTTCCCCACCCACTGTCCCAATGCCGGCATTACGTAGACCTTACATGGGACAGCTATCGATCAGCCAGGAGGTGGCAGGAACAGATATTTTTTATTTAATTCCATCCAACAAAGTGTAATTTGTCCTGTAAGGAGCTGTGGATGTGACAGGATGCTCCTTTAGTTTCTGGTTTTAGCGACAATGAAAAATACTGATCTTGGGATTAACCTCTGTTCACATTTTAGTGCTGTCATAGGTCAAATTGGTCCTCAGGGTTATTAAAACTTCACTGAACTCTACACAATGAAAATTCCCATGAATATAAGTGTTACTATCATCAGATCATAGCATGTTTTCTACGTCATTGTGGTCGACGCTGTAATTCAGGCACTATGTGTGACAACCAGAACCTTTGAAGTCATTTAACAGTGTAATAAATCTTTAAAAACTTTATGTTCAGTGGTCTGACTGATAAAAAAAGCTGTGTGTCACAGAGTTTAAAGCTTTATTTTGATTATTTTTCAGTGAGATAAAACACAGAATGAGCATAATGTGTGCTGCTGTCACGTCTCCAGGTTCACAAACAGTCTAAAGCAGAACATCTGTGTGGAGACGCTTCGAGAAGGCAATCACAGGTATCTCACTCTCTGTCTGTTATCGGTCATCATCCAGTATGTTGTTGAGGTACAAACTCTACAGAACAATGTAATCTGTTTATATGTACTATAGGGCTCTCTTCATTTCACCTTTATTCATTGTGAAGATTCATTTTCTGTCTTTAAAAAGTCAATTATTGGCTTAATATGTGCAAAATCAACCCAACAATCAAAAACTAAAAATGTAATACAGCTGAAACAAGTATCAAATGAGTAAAATGTGTCAATATCTGTACTCATAAATATACTTTTAACTTTTATTGAACAGATACTGATGTACTCGCTCCACCCTCAAAATGTTAAAATAGCCATTAACTCCAGTTTTATTTATAAAAACCCTCAAAATGTTGATATATATAGGTTTGAATTTGGGTTATAGTGCAGTAAATCATTTTGATTAAGGTTTATAGTTTGGTTTCCATCATGATTTCACTTCCACAATTGTCCACTAGAGGTCCCTATTTTAACTCTGTTAGACCTTGAACCAGTTGGGATGCTGAAGTTTCCATTCAGAGTTTAATAGAAACAGTCAGAATATATATATTGATTGTCTCTGCTCATTTTAAATCAATCACTTGTAGAATGTCTATTATCGTCACTGCCATGTGAACATACAGCAATTCTCTATCATATACACATCATTATTTCAAAGCTCACTGTGAAAGCTCTCTCTCTCTCTCCCTGTCTGTCATTACTCTCTCTCTCTCTCTCTCTCTCTCTCTCTCTCTCTCTCTCTCTCTCTCTCTCAGGTCGTTCTCAGAGATCTTCTTTCTGCTGCAGTCCGATCAGGATCGGAGGGCGGCGGCTGAACCGGGTTCAGCTGTCAGACTTCAGACTCCTCTGGACGAACAACGGGACAAACTGGAGACCATGAGGCAGCACCTGAGCCGGGCCGAACAGGCTGAAAGGATCGGTACGCCCCCCACACACACACACACACACACACACACACACACACACACACACAATTCAAATGAACTCAACTCAATAGAAAATAATACAGACATACTGAAAGTGATAAGATGTAGAATATTGAATAAAATCGGTAGCTTCTGATAACATAAATGTGCACAAATTGATGAAATATTTAACATTTACACTTCAATACATGCTTCCTTGTGTACATGATGTATGCCGAAATAAAGATAAAATCCCATTACTTATGATAAGGTTTAAATTAGTGTTCATATTAATGCCTATGTATGTCAGTAATACAGGGAAGGTACATTCAGGATTTTCTAAATGTAGTTTTGTTATTTAAAATGCAGGATAGTAAAATGATGCAGATATGGGGTTAGGAGGTTCTCCCTCAGTATTTCCTCTGTGTGTGTGTGTGTGTGTGTGTGTGTGTGTGTGTGTGCAGGTTCCTGGACGGCGGTGTGTGACCAGCGTCTGTTTTTGGGTCTGTACTTCTCGGCTCCAGAGGACCTCTGGGTCAGTTTGCACTTCTTCCACAGCTGTGCAGACAGAGAGAAAGGAGGCCGCTCGAGGCCGGCCACCGAGGCCCGGGCCTGCATGGCTGAGCTCTACCTGCAGCAAGGTGGACAGCACACACACACACACACACACACACACTTACACACACCGTCTCTGGAACTCTACTGGAGGGATGAACACAGAATAACAACAGTACAACTACAAACAGACGTTATTCTGAAGGGTTGACGTCCCGTCTGTGGTTCCTGCAGGCGAGCTGGATCAGGCGAGGCAGCAGGCGGAGCTGTGCATCAAGCAGGCGGAGGACGGCGGCTGGCTGGCCCTAAACGGTCGGCCCCTGAGACTTCGGGCCCGCCAAGCAATGTCGGGGATCTACAGCCGGCTGGCCGACGCTCCGCTGAACGCCGGAGACTACAGCAAGGCCCTGACGCTGCTCCACAAGGGCTACATCATGGCTACTGAGTGTAGGTAGACAGTCTGTATGTGGTTGTCTGAAAATATACTGAATACCACAAGGTGTTTAAAGACAGTGAGAGAGAGAGAGAGAGAGAGAGAGAGAGAGAGAGAGAGTCCATGTAGCATGAGAACAAAGGGATGTTTCTTTTTACCGCTTTGATTGGCCCGTTGGAGTGAACGTACGGTGGCCAGCAGGGACAAAAGAACTTACCAAAGAGTGATTATAATATAATTCAGTGTGGCTGAAGATGTTTGTAGTCAAATACAATAGAACAGGTACTGATGTGTGTTTTAGCTGAGGACAAACACATTGAAGGAGAGGCCTCCTACCGACTGGGACTGACCTATCAGAGAGCAGGAGACCATGACACTGCCAAACAGGTACCTGAGTGTGTGTGTGTGTGTGTGTGTGTGTGTGTGTGTGTGTGTGTGTGTGTGTTAAATTCCTTTAACAATATTTAGTGTGTCTCTCAGTACTTCTTGATTTCCTGTCTGTGGCTCTCAGCACAAAGTTCCAGTCATTGAAAATGGGTCACACAGTGTTTTGGACAACAATGGAGCTCTATGGCACAGAGGAAGAAGAGACATTACACACACAGTACTTGTTAGAATACAGAATATTACGATTTGTGTGTCTGTGCGTGTTTGTTTGCCAGTTCTTCAACACTTGCATGCAGATTTTTGGCACGCTGCAGGATGCAGACGGACTGGGGAAGTCCTACAACGCTATGGCCAAGTCTTTAGAGAGGTAAACACACACACACACACACACACACACACACACACACACACACACACACACATACAGAGGAAGCACTGTGAACCTGAAACAGAAAGTCTAAAAGTTGGCAGTTTGTTTAAGGTAAACTGGTTGCTGGTGAAACAGTCCCATGATGATTTCTAATCATAATAAAACTCCTGAATGTTAATTAACGACTTTCTCTGCTTGATGTGTTACCATAAACAAACCATAAACCAAACTGTCCTTCTAGTGTCAGTAGAAAGCTTTATTGTGTGTGTGTGTGTGTGTGTGTGTGTGTGTGTGTGTGTGTGTGTGTGTGTGTGTGTGTGTGTGTGTGTGTGTGTGTGTCAGTGAGGGAAACATACATGAGACCGTCCAGTGTCTGGAGAAGTTAGCCGACATCGCCCGTAGCAACGGACTACAACACAACCTTGCAGAGGCCTACATGTATCTGGGAAATATCTACTATATGAGGGTATGGCACACACACACACACACACACACACACACACACACACACACACACACACACACACACACACCTGGAGGCTGTCTCAGGGCTGGAGAACCAGTGTTGCAACAAACTTACAGGGTGTGAGTTTGGCTCAGGGGGGCTGAGAGTTGGCCCTGAGTCCGTACAGCATCATGGAGGTTTCTCATTAATTCAAGTGAATGCAATATGTGTCATTAATGCTGACATCCTTTACTGAGTGTTTTTGTTTATAGCACTTAATTGTGTAATATTAACAATATTATTATACAACTCTCTCTCTCTCCCTCTGTAGAGTCAGTATAAGAGAGCTTATGAGTTCTTCCTGCAGGGTTATGAAGTTGCCTGTAAACTGGGAGATGTGGCTCTGCTGCAGAAGACACAGGTACAATATAAACTGTCTGTCTGTCTGTACTGGGACTGTCTCACTGCTAGTAGCTGGTAGAGGACCGTCACTGCTTCCTGTACACGTCTCTACACTTGTTGTGCAGCTTTCTGTGACGAACAGTAGAGAGTACAGAGCGTGTTCAATCTGGATACAATGCACTGAACTACAGGTGGTCTGTCTGTCTGTCTGTCTGTCTGTCTGTCTGTGGCTGTCTCAGGTGTTGGTGGCCAACGCTCGCGCTCACTCCCTGATCCTGAAATACAGCGCTGATGTGGTGTCGGCCAGTCACACCGCCCTGCGTCGACTGATTGCCTGGAAAGAGAGCAGAGTCTGTCAGGAAGTCAGTGCAGACTGTACAGACAGTGCTGCTACTGCCTGGTACTAACTCATTATCAGATAATAAAGCTGGAACAGAAATCCTGATCACATCAGAACTGTTTGATATATTCTGAATCATATCCTGTAAATGTGTTTGATATAATAGTATTGCCTTGTTAACAAATGAGTGATGTAATACATTAATGAACAATAAATAAATAATAAATACTTAAGAGACATGTAAAGCTGTATTTCTTTCATTTTAAGAGGATCTTAAGTACCTGAGCTACTCCAGTCTAATCTCAACTTTCACTGCTTTACACATATCAAGACAAAGGAAAGGTTCCACTAACGTGTCTGACTTGTTAAACTTGTTAAGTTAGTGTGTTGTAGTCAAACTAACTAAACTTTGGTTGAATAATCTGTTGAGGTCAAATACATTTTAACTCACAAACCTGATGGAAATAAAGATGAATTAACACAAGTTGCTTTGTTGTTCATCAGGTTTGAGAAACGCTGGTCGATCTACATTAAATAAAGACACAGAAGACTGACATGTAACACAAGCAAACAGCTACTGAAGATATCAGCTACTTTTACCTGATACAGTTGAGATAATACTGCCTGTATTGAATGTACTACTGTAATATTGTGATAATGCAGCTATGAAGGATTCCATTGAGAGAAAACATAAAAGACTTTATTGCTCTTTTCATTCATTATTGCAATATGATAAAGTTTTTAAAGGAATATTTTATTGATTGTTGTTACCAGTATAAACTAAACACATTAGTTTGAGTGGATGTGAATGAAATGAGTGTATTTATCCACTGGTTCTCCAACGTCTCTTAATATTAGTTTCATTTGTTGTCTGCCTGCATGTTCTAACACGTTTTTAACGTTTCAGGCTGTTTAACTTTTTAGGATCCTCCCCTCCTGTATGCATCAGTGACGTTCTTCTTCATTGCCTTCAGAGCGGGAACAGCACAACATGACTGATCCAGTTTGCATTCTTCACCCTGCAGGTAAGAATTGTTTTTTAAAGTAAAATAATCCCTGATCAGCATTTTACTAATTTAATCAATAATCCTCATTCATAACGAAGTACAATTAACAGATAAATTGTTAATTAGCTGTGAAATTACGACAGGTTAACATATAAGGGCAGTTTATTGCTTTAAATGATGCATATGTTACACTTCAGTCAGGACCACTTTTGTCAAAAGAGAACTTATTTCCAAATGCAGAATGTGATATTTGGTGGTATGGATCTGTTCTGGGACCTCTCTGCCCTTCCACGTGCACATGTGAAAAACTTAAGACAAAGAGAGCAGCAGCAAAGACCCCTCAGGGTACAGGACAGAGCAGGCTTCAATGACAACAGAAATAACATTGATTAAATCAGATAAAACATAAAAGGACGAGCTGGGGTGGAGGTGGGTTGCAGAGGATGCAGCAACAGTAGGCAGCTTAAATAAGGTACCACTAAATGAGGGGCCACTGGGGGCTTTTGAGGGACCTTTGGCTGATCTTTTGGGGCCACTGATTCCTGATGGTATTTCAGATGGTTCATAAACGGCGCTCTGTTGATTATTGCTGCTGTGCAAAAGCAATGTAAGGATGTCGCATTTGTAAAACTCAGGCTGCATTTGAGACATAACTGTGAACTCTGAAAGAAAGGAATAACAGTAAAAGTTATAAAATTATATGAACTACATGTGCTCTAACTGTGAAATAATGGGAAAAATCAAAACACCAAACAGAAAGAAATATGACCTCTTTTTCTTACTGAAACATGATAATTTTTGTTGTGCAGCCTCATTTGTGCAGAAAGGGCTGAGATAAAATTGACTGCTGCTGAAACTTTCACTCTCCAATAACACACTAAGGTGTTAAAATGTCAATAACATTGATATTTTTAAGACAGACAAAATGTCCAACAACGGAAGACATTTGTTTTATTTGGGTTTTTTATTTTATTTTCAGGAGTTTACAATGCTGTCCAGTGATGGACTATCCTTCAGGACCTGCAATGTTTTAATGTGTCTGATACTGACTTTTGAAGGTATTTCCTCACAAAACACTCCAGGAACATTTTGATGTGTGTGTGTGTGTGTTTTGGATGTTTCACACATGTAGTATGTCTGTATTTTTATACTGAGAAAGAGAGAAAGAGAGAGAGAGAGAGAGAGAGAGAGAGAGAGAGAGAGAGAGAGAGAGAGAGAGATGTTGAACCCATGACCACTGCAGCTAGGACTCAGCTTTGGTAAATGGGGTGCCAGATCCACCAGGTGAGCTACCAGGATGCCCCACTGTTACACATTAATTACAAATTTTTTATAGAAAGCTGTTTAGAAATTACATTTTTTTTATCAGTAGAGGAGGAAGAACTCTAACAGTCAGTAAATGAAGCACTACAACAAAATACATAGTCCTTAATCAGTATTTTACTAATTTAATCTATAATCTACTTTCAGGATGAAGTACTATTAACAGTTAAAGGATAAATGTTACAGTTCTTTTAAATAAGTAACAGTTAATTTCCTGTGAAATGATTGAGGAGTTAACATGTGAGGGCAGTTTGATGCTTTAAAGGATGCATTTAGATACACAGTCCATCTTAATGCAAACATACATTGAAAGAGTTATTGATCACTTTTTCCTGAAGTGACGCTCTATCACAACTTAAGTGGAAGCAGCTGTGTGTTAAGTAGAGAGTAAAGACATTTGTTTTATTTGTGTTTTTTAGAACAACCAGACTAAAGGATGTTGCCCAGTGACAGACTGTCCTTCATAATTCTTCTAATACTGACTTTTTAAAGGTAATTTGCACGCAAAACAGTAACACAGTCTACAGTCACACTGGTTGCTCTGAGGCTCCAGCGGTCGATTTTCTTTGTTTTTGATGCAGTTTTATAACAATGTTTATGATTTCATGCTTTTTTATTAAATGTTTTCTTACTTTTAGAAAGTAAAAATGAATCCATTCAGTCTGATGACATGTATTATAACTATACTACTGTTTCTTGTTTGTTCTTTAGTTTGCGTTGCAGAGCAGTCAGAGTTGATTTGTTCACATCAACCAATCGTAGCCCTGGCTGGTGATGATGTCATTCTACCATGTTACCTTGATCCTCCAATCAGTGCCAGTTCTGAGACAGTGGTGTGGACCAGACCTGGTTTAGACCCAAAGTACATCCATGTTCACCAAGACGGACGACTGATGTTTGAAACTCAAAATCCATCTTATTATCTCAGAACGAGACTGTTTGTGGATGAACTGCAGAATGGAAACGTCTCCATGAAAATCTTCAAAGTGAAAATCTCTGATGCAGGAAAATACTTTTGCATCCTTGAACCAATGTTGAAGGAAGCTTCCATCCAACTCACTGTTGGTAAGTCAGACTTTCTGAAGATGATGAATTACACATTTGTGCTGACTGCAAAGATCAGTAATGTAACTTTATATTAGAAGTAAGCAGCCATGATAAGACACAAAGAAAACAGTGCTGTAAGTTATTTGTTGGATCTGAATCCACTGTTTGAAATTCCTCCTCTCTTCTCATCAGGTGTCGTCTCCACTCCCATCATAGAGGTTGTCTCCAATAACAGTAGAAGAGTAGTTTTACAGTGTGAGTCTAAAGGCTGGTATCCAGAGCCTGAGGTGGTCTGGCTGGACGGTGAGGGGAAACCTCCTCTCTGCTGGACCTACAGAGACAGTCAGAGGTCCTGATGACCTATATACTGTCAGCAGCAGAGTGACTGTGGAGAAGAGACACAGCAACAACTTCACCTGTAGAGTCCAACAGAAGGACATCAACCAGACCAGAGAGACACACATCTATGTTCCAGGTTATAAAGAGCTCTAAATATATTAAACATATTGTCACTGTTGAGCTCTAGTTTGATTCAATAATGTCATTCTGTTCTCTCTTCTATCTTTTCATCTGGTTTATTCACAGTTCAGTCATCTTCTGATCGGATTCGGATCATCATCATTATTCCTGTTTGCATTATTGTGCTGTTCATCATTATCACCCTGATAATATGTAAGTCACATATTTATTTTCCTTTTTTATTCCAAGTTACTGTCAGAGCTCTTTATTGACATACATACAGGCATAACAACAGTAACTAAGCAAACAGTCTGAAATGATCTTCACTGCAGGAAATTTGGGGGAAAGGGAGGAAATAAAAGAAAATGTGTTGCTTTCAAAAGCTTTCTCTCATTTGGAAATGTTCTGTTTATGAAAGTCACTGTGATGTTAAAAATATTCCAGTTCAATTATCATATTTTTGTTCTGCTTGTGGAGTTTTCTCACTTTAACACTC